GTTCCCCTCACACATATATGCTAATCATTCCCAACTCTAGGGGGCAGTGCTCATCTCCATTTGAAAGCCAAAGAGCCAGCGCTGTCCGAGACGTCTGCCTGGTCATGTGGCTGGCATGACTAAAAGCCGAAGGCGCACGGAACTCTGTTACCTTCCCACCAAAGGTGGTGCTTACTTTTTCTACTTGCATTTTAACATGCTTTCGAACTGCTAGGGTGGCAGAAGCTGGGACAAGTAACCGGAGCTCACTCTGTTACGTGGTGCTAGGGATTTGAACCACCAAACTGCTGACCTTTCTGATTGGCAAGCTCAGTGTCTTGGCCACTGAGCCACCACGTTCCCTACTGTACACGGTGGCACAAATTAAAATGAAATTCTGATCTACCGGTCTCAAAAATAAGAAAACCACTCACCAATGTCCCCATCCCAAACGTAATAATAATAACAATAATAATAGAATAGCAGCAGCATCCAAAAATAAAAATTATACAAAAATGACACTAAAACATAAATACATAGTTGCATACAACTATGTTGTAGATACATAGATGCATACATACATATTAATCACAGTCCCTCTTGAATACATAATGGGGAAAAAAATCATACTATATGATACAAAGCTGCTATATAATCTAGTTTTCCGCTTCAAATACCATATTAGGACTATGGTAGGACTATGGTTCCCAATGTCTAGAGCCAGCACAATTGGGAAAACGTTACACAGAACACAATGCAATAATCAGAACACATCTTCTTCAGCAACAAACACCCAGATAAGCAAGGATTAGCACCAGACAAAAACCAAGCAGAAAACAATACCAAAATCCATTATCCATACAACATAATACTAAAGAGAAAACCAACCAAACACTGGCAGGGAAAACTAAAAACAGGGAGCAATCCACACGCCCTGTAGTACTGAGAATATTACCTAAGCAGGTAATGAAACATCTGCAAGAATACAACCAAACTCCGAAATAGCAGCTCTCTGTAATTTTCCACTGCCGGGTGGCCAGTCAAAAGGTAACTGGCATTACTAAAGGCATGTTAAGGTAGTGGCCACAACAGTGTGATCAAAGCTCTGCCCCTCTTTATATGTATGACAGTTCCATCCCTCTGAATGTGTGATGCACAAAAAAGAGGTGGAGCTTGAATCACACTATTTGATCCATCGTGACGTTTGAGCCCACCGTGAAAATACCCCTGGGGCAGTGCGGATATTTTGCAACCACACCTTGTAAAGTTTAGCAACATGAAAACCACAGGATTCTTCTTTTTAAATTCAAAAAACTAAGTTCCAAAAGCCCGAAAGACTTTGGAAGTCTGAATAGGTAACTCTTGGTGACTTGGCTGGAGGTTATGTAGTAAAAATGAGATGCCTTTGGTGAGGATTTCTTTTATCTTTTATCCGGTGAATGGGATGTATGCAGTGAAATCGTTACACGAGGGCTGTGATGGCAAACCTTTTCGGCACCGAGTGCTGAAAAGGGAGCACTTTGTGTGTATGCGAGCGCTCATCTGGTCTGCGACAAGAGGAACTGCCCAGGGAGCATGCGCGCACTGGAAAACTAACTTCTGTTTCATTCCAGCAAGTCTTCTGGTTACTGCTTGCGCTTGTGCATGCAATGATCAGCTGGCCGGCACACATGCCCACGCCAGAAAATGGAAGACCAGCTCTTCTGGTTTCTGGCACTGCCGCATACACAAAGTCCAGCTGATCATCGTGTGCGTATGCACGCCAAAAATCCAGAAGAGGAATGGGCGACGCCACATGTGCCAGGTGACATGGCTCTACGTGCCACTTTGGCCAAGTGTGCCATAAGTTCGCCATCATGGCACTAGGGGCAAGGAGACCCAATTTCAAATTTCCATCCAGCCAAGAAGCTGCACAGATGCCACTGATAGGTAAAATAAGGACCGGAAGTGGCCCTGTGCCTAGATATATATTTACTTCATGTTAAACCTAAATATGGTTTGCTGATACTTTAGTGATGTGTGAAAGCAGCCACCAGTTTGGAAACCATGCCATGTATGTCGACTGATTTTATTTATTTATATTTCTATTCCACCTTTGTTATTTTATGAGTAACCCAAGTATCACACACACCTTCCCCCTATTTCCCCCACAACAACAACCCTGTGAGGTGGGCTTGGGCTGAGAGTGAGGGATTAGCCCAAAATCGCCCAAGTTGTCTTTCACGAATAAAGTGGGACTAGAACTCCTGGTTTCTAGGCCAGCCTCTTAACCATTTAACCCTTGTGTGTGAACCCAGCCGATTGCCGTTTATTCGGGAAATCTCAGCCTAATGTGCTGCAAGAATGCTAGCCTGCATTTTTTGGAAGAAAGACAAGATTTCTATGTAAATAAATCGATCATAAGTTAATAGTTGCTGAGAGAAATGCAAACAAGGGTATGTGATTACCAGCATGCCTTGCTTGTCAGTTTCCCAAATAGATCAGATAGCCTGTTAGTCTGGGCAAGGCCAGCCTTTTTCCCTAATTATCTAATTCAGTTTATATTATAATAAACAAACAGAGCACAAAACAAAGTACACAGAATAAACACGCATGTATATTAGTATACTCATGGAATGCATTTTTAAGGGACAAAGGATTCCATGACAACATCGGTAGATTATGATTGGTTGGGAGCTACGCCTGGGGTCAAAGAACAACAACAGGCTAGTTCGGCAATTCTGGGAGTTGAAGTCAGCACATCTTCAGTTGCCAAGGCTGAGAAACATGATTCTGGAGCAGTGGTGGGATACAACCGATAAGCCCCGGTACGGGCATACCAGTAGCTGCTGGGAGCACTGGGTACCGTTCCAGTATGGTGCTCCAGAGGGCCTGCCCACCCGCGCTCCTTACCGGTATTTGAGCTGTTTGTTTGGAGCTTCTGTGCTTGCGCGCAGAGCATACGGCACCTGCGTGACACTCCGCCAAGCAGCTGTAGCGTCACGGAGGCATCATGGAGACGTCGCGGAGGCGTCACAGGCGTCTCAGGTGGTAAGTACACATGTGCGTGCTGCACGCATTCATGTAGTGGACGCCCAGCCTCGTTGCACCGTATCAGTTGCACCGGGATCCAGAAAACCCACCACTGCTCTGAAGGCTCAACTTTCTTAACTTTGGAATTCACTGGGTGGCAGTAGACTGATTGTTTCTCTTCATCCCACCTACCTTGCAGGATAAAATGAGGGGAGACCCCCTCCCCAGGTGCACCATTGCCCTTTGTTTTGGTGAGCTCAGATGAAGTGACTGGCAATGCGCAACCTGCTTCAGGATTACCAGATGAACCATTGCCTCAGGAACGGCAAACACCTGAGGCAGAGTCATTGGGTAATCAACAGAAGCAGCCGCTGTGTCTGAAGTTGAGGAGCCTGACCTGCCACCTCCACCCAAAGCAAAGATTTATTCATGTGGAGAAGAGAGTAAAGCAAAGGTGCTTCTTGAGAGAAAGGAGTTGTGTTCTCCTGGCATGGTGGCACTGGCACTGGGTGTGGTGGAATCTCCAGCTAGACTGGAGGGGTGTGTTAAGAGGGGTTCCACCACAAATGCGCGCACAACAAAAGCGCGCCTGACTAAACCGCGGTGTCTAAAGCACAGTGACAAAACCGCGCGACGAATGAGCGACTAATTAGCCCTAAAGCGCACCGACA